AGCCATCTTTGTTCTGTAAATGGGAAAGCTGCTGTCAGCATCAGCCTTCTGTCCACACTGATTCCGCCAAGAGGAAGGGATGGAGCCTCGTCTGTCATCACTTAGCAAATGGAACTGTTGTTGCGGTAATCACCTTATGACAGGCCACTCCCGGGCCACAGCTGGAGCAGGACCACTCAGCATCCTGGTAAGAGGAAGGAGTTCTTGAGATTTTGTTCATTGTTTTTCTTCTCTACAAGAGATTCATGGCAGCCAGCCTGGGTCCTTTTCTTCACTTCCTCCCTTTTGTAACAAACGCATAGTAAACTAAGTGCTTAAAGAAATAGAACAGGTAGCCGGCTGGATGGATTAGTGAATGAGAAGGATGATGGATGGATGGATGGATGGATGGGTAGATGGAGAGGAGGGATGAATGTGGAAAAGACTGGAAAGACAAGTAAGGAGGTGAAATAGACGAACAGGTAGGTGGATGAACAAGTGGGTGGATGGATGAGTGAGTGAATATGAGTGAACAGAGGGATGAATGAACAGATGAACAAATAGGTGGATGGATCAGTGAATGGATTGGTGGGTGTGTGGATGGATGGATGGATGGATGGGTGTGTGGGTAGATTGGTGGGGGGTGGATAGATGGATTGATGGATGGATACATGGATGCATAAGCGAGTAGATGGCTGAGTGAATAGATGAACGGATGGATAGATAGATGGATGGGCAGACAGATGAGAGACAGGGTGGATGAATGGAAAGGTGGGTAGACAGGTGAACAGGTTCAGTGTAGAGGCAGATGGGGGTGGGGTGAATAAAGAGAAACCTCTGCTCATCCCAAAAAATGACTCCAGAGAATGAAGGATTTGGGAAGGGAAGACAGCTATGGAGAAAATGAGCACCAAGAACCCTGGAGTCCGTGGAGCCTGAGGCCCCAGACACTCTAAGTCTGTCCCCAAGGCTGTCCCATCAGCCCCAATCCCAGACGAAGCCCGAGTCAGGCTCCACACCGACTCCCGGCAAGTGCTGTGCGTGGCACAGGCTGGAACCTGTGAGCACAGTGTGGCCCTCGGGAGATGCTTCAGGTCATTCAGGTCATCCACCGAGGAGCCAGGGCCTCTCCGGTTCTAGAGCTCTGGGTCAGGGATCGTCCAAGCTGGGCCCTCACACTCCTCGGGTGAGAGGGGCCCCAGGAAGAAGCCTAGGCCTGAGTCCCTCCAGCCAGAACCACCCCCAGAACCTCCTCTTCTGGTCCACAGGCACATGTGAGCGAGGACACACTGGCAGCACCCACCCTCTGCACTGCTCCCTAACACTGACTTCACGGGGGGCAGGAGGCTGGAACCCACTCTCTAGCAGCAGTGCAGCCTCACCCTGAACTTCCTGCATCCCCCGTGAGGTTAGACCAGACACCCCCGTGCAGCCCTGCAGTGTCTACCATCCACTTGGGGCAGGGGAGGGTCGACGCTTTGTGGTTCTGCTTCCCTGACCCGGAGAAGCCAGGAGGGCTGAGCAGAGCAGAACAGAGAAGAGCGGAGCAGAGTAGCCCAGCTCGGACAGGCGTCCACACAGGAGGAGCAATCCCAGCCCAAGCTTAGCAGACCTGCTTCATGCTCCATCAAAAGTGCCGACCACAGACCTACCCCACGGAGAGACACACCCGCGGTGATGTGGAAACACTGCACCAAGGGGAGCCGGGAGGAGGGCCAGGTGGGAACCCTGAACACAGATTCCCGGCCTTCCAGACAGAGGAGCCACCCCACACTCCACCCTGTCGCCTGGCAGACAAGCAGAAGGGCCAGGCAGCGAAGGACGACCCCACAAGGAACCTGCCACGCAGAACAATGAGCCATACGAGGCCACAGGGCAGTGCCGGCCCCAAGGAAAGCCCAGCAGGTAGAGGCAGGACAGGATGACAAACAGAGAGTCCCAGGAGGAGACACGAGTGCTGGTATAATAAGGGAATCACAGCCAAGAGCATGGAGCATAAACAAGGCACAGTAACAAAACAAAACGACATAAACTGTGAGAAAGAAACATCTGTTCATGAAAGCCGCCCCCTGTGATGCTGCAGGAGCACCAGAAGGTCCCGTCACCCCAACTTCCCTCAGAAGGGGCATTCCTCTTAGTTACAAATGGGGAAACTGAATCTCGGGTAAACCACAGCCAGTGAGACTAACCCCCGGCTGCTGGACCCCAGCGGCCACTTTTTTCTCCCAAAAGCCCAGATGCGATGACTTCAGAGCAAATCACAGAGTAAAAAAAAATAAGGCAGAGGCAGTGAATTCATGCTCCTGGGGGAGAAGCAACTCAGAGAAGGGTCAAAACGTCAGAGGACGTCGGCGATGCTGAGTGCAGATGGACAAGACTCGGAGAACGGTGCAAAAACTGCCAGTGGAAACTGTCAGGTCAGTGAATGTTCCGCTGCCCGGGTTCTTACCAACAGGGAAAGGATCCCATCTTAAACGATTAGGAAATCAGAGAAAGACACCGCTTCTTAGCAAAAGTTGGGGTTGTTTCTACCACACCTAGGAGGAGAGTACTCCTAACAGCAGGGTGGCCGCTTAATGAGCACCCACTACAGGTCAGGCACCCTGCCGAGCGGCCTCAGCCCCCCTCACTTCATGTTGCAGCCACCTCTCACAGCCTTAGAGACAAGGGCCAGGGCCACCATGTCACCAGGGGCTGCCCTGAAGGCAGCGGTGCACCGGCACACCCTCACCGGCACACCCTCACCCCTAGTCCCTGCTTCCCTGAGCCTCTGGGCCTCAGCAGCACCGAGGCCAAGGAGGAGCCAAGAGGCACAGCTCAGCTCAAGGACTGGGTGTGACCTCATTCTGGTGCTAGGCCGCAGCCCACCCTGAGATCCCTGGCAAGGACAGGCACCACCAATGACCATAAGTGGGCAGAGGTCAGCAGGCAGCAGCCCCAGGCTGCGTGTCACCTGAGCTGGAGCTTGGTTACCACATGGCGCCCGGGTTCCTGGGGCACACCACACCAGGGAGGGTTACCGGCGAGGCTCACGCCAAGTGCCTGCACTTCTTACATCATGCATTCAGCTGTGGTGAGCGAAAAGCCAATGAAATTACAGGCTGCAAAATGCTGTGCTAACCACTGGTCAGGGGCTGGGCCCGGCCACGGGCTTCCTGGCAATTCCCTGTGCAATTATCTTAAATACAGGTTGTGTGTGTGAGGGAGTGGGGGAGGGGGGATGAGTGTGAGGAGCTGGGGTAGGTGTGAGAGAGCAGGTAGTATGAAGTGTGGAGAGAGTGTGTCCGTGTGTGGAGAGGGGAGTGCACAAGAGGGGGTGTGTCTGCGAGTGTGCTGGGGAAATACATGTGAGTGTGTGTAGCTGAGGGGAGTGTGTGTGTTTGTTTACAGGAGTGTGTGGGGGTGGTGAGGATGTGAGAGTGTGAGTGTGCATGGGGGAGGCTATGTGGATGTGTGAGGTGGTGTTTACATGATGTGTCGGTGCATGAGGCTGTGAGTGTGTAAGGATGCATGAGTACATGGGTGAGTGTGTGCGCACACGGCTGCAGGTATGTGTGGGTGTGTATCTTTCAGCACCTGAGGGACACTGTGAGTGTGCACACGTGCGAACGTGTCAGCGAGCGTGGATTTGCACCAGCAGCGTCCACGTATGTATGTGAAGGTGTGAGTGCGGACGTGCGTGGACGTGTCTTTGAGAGTGAACATCAGTGAGAGAACGTGCACCGTGCCGACGCTGAGCCCGGCCAGCTGCCGCCGCCCCCGTGGAGGGCAAGGCCACGTGACAGGTCCCTGGCTCCGGCGCGGACACAGAAACACACCTGGATCACGGCCTCACTCCCCCGCTCGCTCAGGCTCGACCCATCAGAAGATCCAGATTCAAAACAAGCAGCCCAGACTCCTGTCCATTCGATCCATGAGACGCCCATTATCACATCCCAGGAAATCGTCCCAGCCCCCCTGGACCTCCCCAGGCAGCACCCACCCGAGCTCCGCCCAGCTCTCAGCCACAGCCACCCCATGACTGCTGCTTACTGAGAACTTGGGGAGGCCGTCAGAGTCCCTGCTCCAGTCAGAGGGGATCACATCGGAGTCCTCAGTTCCACACCCTACTGTGCCTGACACCTGCCCAGAACGCTGCTTAATCCAGGGGTGTGCTCGTTCTCCACCCCTGAGCAGGTGGGACAGGCACCCCTCATTTCCAGTTAACAGAGACTCAGGGGAAGCAAAGCTGGAGGGTCCTTGGGCTCCGTCCAAGTTCTGGGCCTCCCCTGCCCCAGTGGACCCAGAACACTTGACCTCAGCAGAACACTCTTCGGACACGTCAAGACCAAACAAACAGGCCGTCATGGGGGGTGGGGGGAGGCCAACAAAAGAGAGGGGACCTGTGTGGCGGAGCGATGCAGTGACCACAAGGGCCGCAGACACGCCCACCTGTTAGCATAAGGACTGTGGTAAAGAGGCCTCTCCAACAGGCCACAGGCAGACAGAGCCAACGGGCCTGTTGGGGAGGAGGAGATGGCCAGAGTGCCCTGCGGGAACCGGGACGGCAGGGCTGGGTCTCCTGGACTTTGGGCAAGTCAGGAAGAGAGGCCGATCTCTGGAGCGGGATGCCATGCTAGGAAAGCAGAGATCAGTGAAAAAGAGGCAGGGCCTCAAAGACACGGACTGACAGAGGGACTGACAGAGTGACTGTTAACGAGACTCAAGCATGGCAGAGGTGGGGGTACCGGCCCAGGCTGTACACAGGTAGCAAGAGTCAGCACCCTTCTGATGGCGCCTAACAAAGGGGTGAGGGCCAAGCTGGGGGCCACTGACAGCTACAGCATCCTCCCCACTGTGCGGGACAGCCACCTCGCCTTCCCGGCCACGGCCACGGCCAGCTCCACACCCTCGTGCTGGTACCACAACCCTGTCAGACACAGCAGATTCACTCCACTGCTTGAGACGCTGCCCACTCGGCCACCTGGCACTGAGGCGGGTCCCGGGCACCACGTGCAGTGACCACTGACGGAGCCACTCACCTTCCCAAAGTCCCGGACGTCAAAGAGGTCAAAGGGGTCGAAGAGCTCACTGTTGCGCAGCCCGAACTTGTCGTGACAAACCTTCAGGAAGGTCCGGATGTTCTTCAGACACAGGAACTGCGGGGAGAGGGCAGAGGGTTAGACTTCACCAGCACAGCCAAGAGATGTCAGGGTGGACACAGGCAAGGGGCAGGGCTGGGAGAGGAGACGCGGGGCCCATAGGGTGCATATGGGCAAGGGGCCAGGCTAGGAAAGGCGACCCTGGGCCCATGGGGCAGACATGGGCAAGGGGCCGGGCTGAGAAAGCACAGTCTGGGCCAATGAGATGGACGCGCTGGGTCCCTGGGGCGGATGCACCGGGTCCCTGGGGCGGACATGCCAGGCCCACAAGGTGCTACAAAGGCAAGGGGCCAGGCCAGTTGGCGGCATACAGGCAAGGGGCTGGACCAGGAGAGAAAAATCTCAGGCCCACAGGCAGCACATGGGCAAAGGGCCGGGCCCACGGGGCAGCACAAAGGTGAGGGACTGGGCCAGGAGAGGATGGACAGGCTGGGCCCATAGGGCAGCCCATGGGTGAAGGGCCAGGCTGGGAGAGGACAAACCAGGCCCTTTATAACCACAACTGGCCTGCTGCTCTCACCACCCCCCCAATCCGCAAGGCATGGAGATGTCCCCCCCACCCTTTGCTACAGGTCCTGCGGAGGTGCCCTGGTCACTTGGCCATTGTGGTGGCCCCCTCAGCCCATTCCAACTGTGATGCCATGGCTGACACCAAACATGTGTCACGCGGACCAGCAGGTCACCCTGCAGCACCCACAGCCTCAAGCCTACTCTGACCCACAGTGGCCCTGCAGGACAGCGGCAACTAAGCATCACCCCAATCGTCCACCCCACAGTGGATTCAAACTGCTGACCTCTCTGTTGCAATCAACATACAATGCACTGCGCCACCAGCTCTGCTTAACAATCCTATTCACTGCCATCACGGAGCTTTGATAGCCTAGTGGTAAGGAGCTGTGCTGCCAACCCAAAAGCACACAGTTCAAATCCCCACGCTTCTCTGTGAGAGAAAGAGGGGATAATCGTCCCCTGTACCTCAAAAATCTGCTGGAGGGTCAGCGATGGGTCGGCTCTGACCTGAGGGTACACAGCAAGCACCATCAAGTCAGCTCTGACCCAGCCGTGGGGTTCCTGAGTCTGTTCAGCACTCTCCTGCAGCGGACCTAGTGGATTTGAACTGCTGACCTTCCGGTTGATGAACCACTACACACCCTACGCCAAACTGATGTAACCTTGTCCTATCTAGCAGCAAAAGAGGTAAGTGACCAGGCTAAGAGGACAGGCCAGAACCAGGACCCACGAACAGGCTCAGCATCAACCAGGCAGCATCCAGCAAAGCCTGGTCCCGAGCCAGGGCGAATGAGCACTGCGCCACGCCCACCTGCAGGCTGCAGCGCACCACCCTGGCCCCCGCCTGGGGACCTTTGCTCTCTTGGGCCACCCTTCCATCCTAACTGGTCAGCCACTGGTCATAGTTTACAGAGCAGGAGCTCCTATCATTCCCCTGACACTCAAGTTGTCCAAGACTCAGCTGCCCTTCAGCATGGCTTCCACGTTCCCATCTTCAGAGCACACGCTCACATGGCGGCATCAGACATCCTTAGGGCCACGTGCACTTTTCCTAGACCAGTACTGGGGTCCTGTCCTCATAACCTGGGGCCTGGTATCCAAAAACAAGACTGGTGTCGGTGTGTTTGCAGGTGACACCTGTCATGACGCTGGGGCTTCTTACACAGGACAGCAGAGATCTGTTAACAGACATGACAGCGTGCATGCGGCCAGGTTGATTCTGGATCTCCACGGCCCTACAGGATGGAAGGCCCAAGGCGTCCGGGCTGAAATGTCAACAGGAGTGGACGGCAGAGTGTGTGTCTCCAAGAGCCTCTAGATGGGCTCAAACTGCCAACCTTACAGTTAGCAGTGGGCACCGGACCACTGTGACAGCAGAGCTCCCCAGCTACGTACTACCTCTCCATACCTGCAACCCCACAGTGCCCCCAAACCCCACGGTGCCCCAAGCCCCACGGTGCCTCAAAATCCCACGGTGCTCCACAGACCCACAGTGCCCCCAATCCCACAGTGCTTCACAACTCCATGGTGCCTTAAAACACCATGGTACCCCACAAACCCACGGTGCCCCACAATCCCATAGCATCTCTCAACCCCACAGCACCCCACAATTATACAGCCCCTCACAACACAATGCAAAACACAGGGTTCCTTGATTTTCACACCCTCCCCCCAAATGCTCATTTCCTCCGAGAGTGAGAAACACAGACCCCATCGCTCTGCTAGGTCTCTTTGTTCAATCTTGGAATATCCCTGAAGCCATTTCCGAATTGCTCCCCCACACTCGGAGAAGGACCAGCACAACAGCTGGAGCTCAGGATCTGTTTATTGTCCTTTCCCACATCTGAGGCTGGAGTCTAAACACTGTATCCACAGCCAGGCAGCTCTGCCCCCCAGGAGGCAGCAAGCTCATTTGAATACAGCTGGCTCGCTGATGCCCTCCGGTCAGGTGGTCCCTCCCGGAGTGTGTCTTTAAGTCCAATGTGCACAGAGCCACTAGGCTCGGTTCATATCTAATGTCAGTGACTCACATGTCTGTCTTAGTATACCGTATACAGCTGCATTTTTACACATCAGGAAAGATACATGCTAAAGCCTCATTACCACGATGATACTGTAACGATTATGTTTCCAGGGCATCCTAAAGAAACCTGCCTTTGGTATTATGAACTGCTTCTGTGTACATCAACCTTTTCAATATAACAGGATTTAGAGGGCTGGCTCCTAACTGTGGTTGGGCTGTGCACTAACTGTGCATGCGTGCGTGTGTGTGTGCGTGTGTGTAACAGGGTCCACATCCTTGTGTGGTTTCTCCCTCCCTGTAACGGGATCCACGTCATTGTGTGGTTTCTCCCTCCCTGTAACAGGGTCCACGTCGTTGTGTGGTTTCTCTCTCCCTGTAACAGGGTCCAAGTCGTTGTGTGGTTTCTCTCTCCCTGTAACAGGGTCCA